ATTATTTTAACCTCTCTGGGCATTACTTCAAAAATGTTAAAAATCTTCAGAGCTTTCCAGTGTAGCATTTAAGGAGCAGGAAATTTGACTCTGTAGCAGTAGACATATTTCCTTTTAAAATTAACTGTATACAGTTGTAACCCAAGTCTATGGAGGAGCACATTGAGAGTCCTTTTGGAGAATACCTGTGAGGATTTTACTGGACTAGAGATTTGAGAACAACAAGATTATTTTTAACATGATGCTGAAGAGGGGTTTGTAACTGAGACTTAGAAGATACCAGAACAAAGCCCACCTGCAAGCAAGCATTCATAATACCAATATAATTAGTAGGAGAAGAAATGTCACAAAAAGTTTAGCAAAGTAAATGTCCTTCACTCAAAACCACCAGCCAGGAACAAAAAAAAAACACATTCAACTGTTCTGTAATCTAGTTTGCTCAAGCTCTGGCCTGCATACCAAGATGAGAATAACTTGTGTATGAACAGATTATTAGGGAAGGGTTTGAAAGGGTCAGCCAAGTTATAGCAGATCGTGTTGATCATATATTCCTCTGAGACAATGTTGGCCTAATGATAACATTTAGGCTTTTTTACAACATGATTGTGACCTTCCGAGCACAGTGCCCAGGGCAGGTGGATGTGAAAATTCCCACCAGATGGGAAAATTAATCACCCTCCAGTTTGGGCTGACATCTGGTTGTAGACATCTCAACGTGATGTGGTCTGAGGCATGGTCTGAGGAAGATGCTCCCTTTCCCAGGAGCTGGTGGCTCGCAGTTTTAGGCCAGAAGGGGACATTGATATTCTCTGCTGCCCCTGGTGCGTGATGCATCCTCTCAGCTCAGATGGCTCTGGGGACTGCATTAAGTGTGTTGACTAAACCTCTATTAATTATAACATGAGTTTACACATGTCTAGCTGACAAGTAAATACTTGCTTGTATGTACCTATTTAGGTGTCTGAATCTAGAGCTGAATCTCTCCCCTGAAATATTTAGGTAATTAAGGAAAAATAAGATCTCCCAAGCTGCTTCTTTCCCTGTTTTTTATGAAACACCCTTATGATTGCAGGCTGGTTGAAGACCCTGTTTTCAGTTCAGCCCCTGAAATAGGTGCCTTGAAGCAGGCCAGATAGCATCTCTCAAAAGTCGCTGCTCTACTGTGTCCCCAGGGACTGTCCAAAAAGCCTTTGCTCAGGTGGTAGCGGTGCCCTGGCTCCTGCAGAATCACCCTGGCCGTGCACAGCACTGCGGCGGTACCCAGCAGCATCACCACACAGCAAGGAGTTTATGGACCAGATCCTCTGCTGGTGCAGAACCCAAGCAGCTCCCCTCATCCAACGGGAGCTATGCTGAGGCTCATGTCGCCTGAAAAACCCGTCCTGATGGTGTTCAAAAACTTCCCTGGCTTTTTAAACAATAAATTTGTTAGACTTTTGCATAATGGCATCCATTTTTCAAGGAGCTGAGGCATGGTCTCCCATGTGTATGAGTTGATAACTCCTAATTTTACGTGAGAAGGGGCATTAATATTCCCTGCTTCACCCTGGCATGTGATGCAGGTTGTAGAGTAGTCGTAAGTGATTCCCAGCAAAGACCTGAAAAATAATTCTACTTGTCCAGCCAGCGCCTGTAACCGAGTAGCAAGAAGAAAACATCCTCAGAGTTACAGGCACAAACCGCAACACCAGGGACCCGAGGCTGTTGTCTGCTGAATCTGGCAATGTGCCCTGCGCAGGTACTCTGCTGGTTTAATAAAAACCGGTAACATCAGTAGGTGCAGTAGATATTTCGTAGCCGTAAAAGGAACGACGGAAAGACAAGAGAGAATGGAGAGCAAATAACAGATCGTATGGTAAGGAGGTTGAAATGCTTTACAGTGCTTATTCCAGTCTTAAATGAAAAGGATAATAGTAACAGGATATTTAGTACAATCATAGCTAACGGAGCTAGGAAGCCTTCATAACGGAGAATCCAAAAGAAGAAGGCTGCTGATTGCCTAAATCACTTGAATATTCTTAAATCAGTGAGGCTAAATGAAATTCACCCTTGACTATAGTGCTTAAAAGAGTTGGTGCGAAAAGCCGTTGGTTTATAAAAGCCTCTCCTGTCTTCTCGAGACACTGCGACGGTACGTAGTCTTTGAATCCCTCGGTGAAAAACACTGCGATTATACGTACCCTTGATGCCATCAGCGACAAGCCCGAGTCACGACTGCACGCAGTCGTGCACGCACACACACACAGAGCTGGATTTTTCGAGCTGTTTGAGAAAAAAGAAGAAGAAGAGTGAAAAGTGACATCGGTTTTGATGTGTGACATTAACTTTCAAGCTGATGAAAGGGAGCAACATGTTCTAATTATTATTCCCCTTCAAAATAAGCCACGAGCTCAGACAAAAGAGGGGAGAAGGGAGGGGGGGGAATCCAGGAGAGAAACAGAATCACATTTTCTCACTTATCTAATTAAAGCAAGGTGGGCGAGGGAGAGGGAGAGCTCGCCGTGCTCAGGCAGCGGCGCTGCCCCATTTATTCTGGGAAAGACGGGAGATGGAGGCGGTTGCTCTGCCAAGCTGGTGGGAATTGTCTGTCCCTGCTGGTGGGGAGCTCCTTTCCCAGTGCTAATTCACACTTGACTTTGGGACATCCCAGTTCCTGTCAAACCCTGTGTCCTAATTTAGTAGCAAAACGTGTTTGCGCCCATGTTTTGCCTTGGCTCATGGTACAGACCTGCCTTGGGAGCACTGGGGACAGCACTGGCGTGTCCGAGGGAAGGTGCTGGCTCCGCTGTAGGCTCTGTATATTTTACAACTTTATTTAAACTGTCCTTTAGTGACTGGTTCTGCTTCCTGAGCAGCCTGTACTGGAGATTAACCTCCCCCCCCGGGGGTTGTCTGGCTCGTCCCCGCTACACCCGCCATCCGCATTATTCCCGTGTCCCGATGCCACGTTTCATCTTGGCTCCCATGTAAGGTTAAACGCCCCCAACCTTCTTAAAAAAAGCACTTCCTGAAATCAGAGCTTTGCCACCCACTGCCATATGTCCACTGCTCCCTCTCGTACAAGGTACCATTTAATGACATTAAGATATCTGCAGCCAAGTGCCTGACATTTGTGACTCTGGGGAAGGGGAACAGCCATTTCACCTCCTAGAAAGTGCCTTAGAAATGGATTTCAGCAAGGGAAAAGAAAGGAATGTCTTCTTTTCTGGTTTGGAGGCTGATGAAGTGATCTCAAGCCGTACTCGGCCCTGTTTCATGCTGGAGGTAACAGCAAGGAGCCACGGACTCGCTGCTCACATGTCTGGCATTTTTTTCAGAAGAGCAGCACTGTCATTTTTCCATTTTTGCATCACCCAAACATCTTTTTTATCACCAAACAACTGCAGCATGGCCAGGCCTCAACTCTTCAGGCTATACCTAAAATCAACGGCCCCAGTGACAAGGAGGGCTGGTGAGCAGGGGAATGGGACTCAGCCTGAGACCCTCGTCATCCCTCATCGTGCTGTGGCCCCACAAGCACCCATGGGGTTCAGCTCCCCACAGGCACCCATGGGGTTCAGCGCCCCACAGGCACCCGTGGGGTTCAGCACCCCACAGGTAGTTGCATGCTCGCTTTGACAGAGCTTGCGCCAGGCTGACCTGGCTCTCCAGCCGGAAAGCAGGGGGACTTC